AATTGCAGGTTGTTGTCTGCTGTTGTTGGTTCTCTGTCTGAAGGACTCCCTTTAGCATCTCTTATAACGTTGGTCTGTTTTTTACAAATCCCTTTAATTTCTGTTTATCTGGAAATGTCCTAATTTTGCCATCATATTTTAGGGACAGTTTTGCTGGGTATATAATTCTTGGTTGGCTTCCCCTCTCCCCCTTTAGAGTTTTATATATGTCTTCCCATTGCCTTCTTGCCTGCATGGTTTCTTCTGAGAAACCAGAGCTTAGTCTTATTTGGTGCATTTTGTATATAATTTTCATTTTTCCCCAGCTGCTTTCAGGATTCTTTCTCTGTCTTTGGTTTGGAAAATTTGATTATGACATGTCTTGATGATTTTCTTCTGGGGTCTATCTTGTATGGCATTTGTTGAACTTGAATGCATATCTTGGGTGTATATTTTCTCATCTTTCATCACATTAGGGAAGTTATCTTCCAACAAATCTTTGACAATTTTCTCTGTAGTTTTATTTGTCTTCTTGTTCCGGAATTCTAATCATGCATAAGTTATTCCTCTTGATAGTGTCATAAATCTTAGGCTTTCTTGATTTTTTTCTCCCATTCTTTTCCCCTGACTGTTCCCTTCACAAAGTGGTCTTGAGAGAGCTGTCTTTAGTGTTACTGATTCTGTCTTCCATTGATTTGATTCTGCCCCTTTGCCCTTCAATGTGTTATCTTTTCTGAAATCTTAGTATTTATCTTCTGGATTTCTGTTTGCTGTTTTTGTATTTTTCTAATTTTTCATTTATTTTGTCAGTTTGTCCTTTTAATGTTTTCCTAAATTCTTCTAGAGTTTTGTCTGTATTTTCCTTAATTTTTTTCAGTGTTTTCCTTGACCTGTCTCTCAATTCATTGAAGGTACCTAAATATAATTCTTTTGAATCCCTTATCAGTTAGTTCCAATGCCATTTCTTCATCTAGGAGGTTTTCTGGCTTTGTATTTTGGTGTCTTGTTTGTACTATTTTATCTTGCTTCTCTGTGTAAACTGGGATTGTCACTTGTCTCCAAGACTTCTTTTGCCTTTTTGTAATAGTGATCTTGTACAATATTTGTCCTTTTGTTATTGACTTATTTCACTCAGCATAATATTCTCCAGGTTCATCCATGTTATGAGATGCTCTGAGGATCCATTGTTACCCTTTAACATTGCATAGTATTCCATTGTGTATAAGGACCATTGTTTGTTTATTCATTCATCTGTTGATGGGCACTTAGGTTGTTTCCATTTTTTGCTATTGTGAGTAATGCTGGAATGAACATGTTGCTGTTGTTGTTATTTGCCGTCGAGTCGGCCCTGACTCATAGCGACCCTCCTTGGGTTTCCGAGGCAGTATCACTAAGGAAGTAGGATTGCCCAACCTTCCTTCCGAGGAGTGGCTGGTGGATTTGAACTGCCAGCCTTCTGGTTAGCAGTCAAGTGCCTTAGGCACTATGCTA